AGCATGAGAGGGAAGAGGGTCAGAGGGAGAAGCAGACTCCCTGCCGAGCAGGGAGCCCGATGTGGGACTCGATCCCGGGACTCCACGATCATGACCTGAGCCGAAGGCAGCCGCTTAACCAACTGAGCCACCCAGTCGCCCACAATAACCAAATTATTGAAGCAAAGAAGTGTCCCTCGACTGATGATTGGATGAGAAGATGTTATATATATATATAATATATATACACACAATGGAATATTACTCAGCCGTAAAATAGAGTGAAATCTTGCCATTCGCCTCAACATGGATGGAACTAGATGGTATGATGCTAAGTCAAGTAAGTCAGCCAGAGAAAGACAAATACCAAATGATTTCACTCAGATGTGTAATTTAAGAAACAAAGCAAAACAAAGGAAAAAGGGAACAAAAAAAAAAGACTCTTAACTACAGAGAAAAATTAATGGTTACCAGCAAGGAGGTAGGGGTGAGGGATGGGAAAAGTAGGTGCTGGGGATTAGGACTAAACCTATCATGAGTAATTTATAGGGTTGTCAAATCACTATATTGTACGCCTCAATATAACACTGAATGTTAAGTACCTTGGAATTAAAATTAAAAACTTAATTTAAAAAACCCTCTTTTGATGAAGAGATAGAGATGCATGTCTTGGGAGAGGTGAGCTGGAATCGGTAGTCTGGGACCAGGTCCTCCATGGGGAGTTATGTGGGATCATGGCTGGAATATCTCCTGCATTAGAATTTAAGCAATTTAAGTAAGCAAGGAGTGCACCTGTCTGTGCAGCAGATGCAAACTGAAATGTGAAATGCAAAACTATGCTAAATGTACCATTATTTACCAACATTTTTCAGAACATAATTTCCATTTCTATCCCCATTCACCATGTACTCAATCATGTACTCATTTTCAGAGACGTTCATGGGCACAAGACCTGGAGTGTGGGAGATGAGGGATAGATTTAGGTCACCAACTACTGGTTTAAAAAAAAAATTTTTTTTAATGTAGATCTAACTCGAGTTGTTCTTTATCTTTGTCAACACATTCCACACTTGAGGTGACAAACTCAAATTACTTTCAGGTAAACCTTTGTGACATCATAATGCATTTCTAAACATTATTTCTAAACATAATTTCAAATTCACTTTACTTATATATAGTTAATATTTTATATTATATATAGTTTTATTAGTATATATAATTAGTATATATTAGTATATGTATTAGTATTGTATTATTAGTCTATATATTAGTATTATGTTATATTGGTACATATATTGGTATATAAGTATATATATTACTATTATATTAGCAAATATATTAGTATATGTTAGTTTATATTAGTATATGTTATATATAACTATATATAGCTATAGTTTAGTATTATGTTATATATTATAGCATATTATATATAATTATATATTATTTTATAATTATGTTATATTTATAATTAATATAAATAATTATATTATGGCAAGATTTCTTTTTTATGGCTGAATAATATTCCATTGTGTGTATATAAATCAATATATTATATATTTTTAATTATATATTATATATATATCTCTCACATCTTTATTCATTCAATCCTCAATGGATACTTGCGCTGCTGCCATATCTTGGTTATTGTAATTAATGCTGTTTTAATCATATGGGTACATGTATCCCTTTGAATTAGTGTTTTTGTATTCTTTGGGTAAATAGTGTGATTGCTGGATCATTAGATAATTCTATTTTTAACTTTTTGAGGAATCTCCATACTGTTTTCCACAGTGGCTGCACCAGTTTGCATTCCCACCAACAATAGTGCACAGGGTTCCTTTTTCTCCAAGTCCTTGCCAACACTTGCTGT